TTGAGAATTGCGAAATAAAGTTTTATAATTCCTTCACACATAGCAATAAACTTTTTTTATAAACAAAACACTTCTAAGAAATAAAATACCAAGAAAAAATAGAATATTGATTTTCAATATTTTGTTTATGCACGTTAATTTTTAATTCTTTTATATTATTTTTTCAAAAATTTATTTTTTGATTTATACATAAATTATATCTAATCCCTTCGGAATGCATGAAATTGAAGGAAAAGGGCAATGGAAGGTGGGATAGCAATATCTTTGGTTTATAAGTTTGTAATTCTTATTTTATTTTGATAAATCTCACAAATTCCATTCCCAATCAATATTGTTAAATTGGAGCCCAGCATGCAACATTGCATATAAAAAAACTCAGAAGGTGAAATTGGATTGTCACCTAATAATTTAAATTAATAAAAAATAAATTTATGAGAATATAAATTATTTTTTAATGTAATAGGGAATTGGAGACCTTAATTAGCAACCACCTCAATGGCCTTTCTATGATGTAGGAAAATTTTGATTATTGAATAATATTTTTGAACTTTTCTACTAAGAATATTTGAAATTTGAACATGAGAAAAACTTAACATTGACTTAGAGTAGAGAGTTGACTATATATATTAATTATGTTTTTAATGTCTCTAGCTACTCCCTAGTTCCTAGATTTTTCTAGATTCTCAATGAAATAGAAGTTTTTGTTTATGATGCACATGAATAATTGAATATGACGACTCTTTTGCTTTATTTTTTTTTTGTCGTTACTTTAAAGTGGTGGAGGAGTGTCCACTAGATGATAATTTTCGTCCCTAGTATTCATCTCTTCACTATTTTGTAACTCTACAGGTTGAGGACAACAATATTAAACCTATTTTTAATAAGAAAGAATAACAATGCTCAAAAAGCATAAACTAGTGAAATAAAAGTAAATGCTAAGCTTAAAAATTAATCTGATTTTGAATGTAAATACCTTTTTCTATTTTGACAAAAATTCACATTCCTTTATTATTTTGTTACTTTTGAGAGAAAAAAATATGAGGTGTCAACGAAGTTAAGAATAATAGAATTAGTCTTTCACTTGACAAACCAGTAGTTGAATCCTTACTAAAAGAGGTATTTGACAATGTCTTAATAATATTGTTTTAAAAAAATAAATCTACAAGACATAAAAAATAAGGTTATATGTCAAAATTAAAAGATAAAATTCACGTACAATTTCTTAAATATTTTTAATTTTATTATTTGATAAAAATTAAAATTTCACCAAATTTATGAATTAAAAATTTATATAAAAACTCTACGTTTAAATTATAATAAAAAATAATCAACGAAGTATATTTAAATTGTCTCAAAATATGTGTATATGTAACAAAAAATTCTTTATAAGAAAATCATATTTTTCTTTCTTTTTCATTTTTCTATTCTGTCAAACTAATATAGAAAAACATATTTTTTGTTGAAGATTGAAGAATCTACATCTGGAAGATGTTCCCTAGAAGTTTTAGTTTTGATGTTTTGCTCATGTTGCTTTTTATTTTAAGCCTATGTCAAAAGGATAATGTATTGATTGTTTAAAAGATTAGGCTTGTATGTGTTTGTTTGTTATGTGTTAAAAATTAGTAATTAACATGAAGGTGAAAATATCATAATACTCATTTTTCTTATTTCATTCATTGTTGAGAACATGAAGTATTAATTTACTGAGTGTTTGAGACTTTAAATGAAAACTTGAATGTAGGCCTTAATGGCTGAGTTGTTGTAGGCCTTAATGGCTAAGTTGTTGTAGGCCTAAATGGCTGAGTTGTGGTAGGCCCTAACGGCTGAGTTGTGGTAGGCCCTAACGGCTGAGTTGTTGTAGGAGAATCTCCGAGGTGATATGCGTGACGACGCATTTTTATCTGATTGATGGTTGGTTGCATAGGTTGATTGGAAATTAGAATGTTGTCGTGTTGACGGTTGAAGTTGTGCTGATTATTAGAATTTTGCTGTATGTTGTTCTTTTTATACTAGCTTACCCTTGCTGTTTCCTTGTGGTTGGACTGCTATGATCGTACGATGTACGGGAGCAGAACAGGAGTAGGTGTTTTGGTTCGTGGTGAGTCGGCAGCTGGTACGCAGAGTTGGTCGTGTTTGATTGACATTTTGTTGTAACAGCTACTAGGTGTAGCAGTGGCTTATGTATTTTGTTGGTTGGATGTTTTAATACACTCTAATTCTAGTCGGATCGAGGCTTTGTATATTTTTATATTCTAGACCCTATAATTATATACTTGCTCTTTCTGTCTAGTGTTTCCAGTGTCTTGAGGTTGACTTGTAGTGACCAGTCGGGTCGTTACATTTTAGTGGTATCAGAGCAGTTCGAGTCTAATGGGAACTCTTTGGGGGTGGTTCCTTTGGGCTTTTGTTGTGTTAAACTCTGAGTTATGTTGCCTTGATGTGTTGATTGCTGTGTTGATTGTTGTGGTGTTCTGTAGTATTTTGAGTTGTTGTTTGGTTTAGATATTGTTTGCTAAAGGTGTTGTTGCTTTTGTAGACGATGTCTAGAGCAAATGAACAGATAGCCCGGGCCATGGAGATGATGGCCATGGCTATGCAGCAGCAAAATGCTTACTTTGCTAGGATGGAAGCGGAGAGAGCTGCAGCTGGTGCA